TCCAACTGTGAGTTAAAAATGCACCAATGATGAGGAGACAGTAACTTTTCTTGCCAACACCAGGGCGCTATAAAACCCTTCATTCTTAATCTCTTGATTAAAGTATTCTCCGGCAAAAATCCTGGAATTCCGATCACGACGTCCAAGGTCTGACCACCCACAAAAATTGGATGCTGCCTATTGGCCAGGCCCCATTGCAAATTTCTTCAAATTTTGTTGCTCTGTCATTACAGTTATGCTTCCATAATTCACGTAAAGAACTATTCTGGATTTGTTTATCTAGCCCATTTCAAAAACATTTGAGTCTTCTTTCCATAGAATTTGATCTAAGTGACTTTGCTAGGTGTAACTGGGAAATGCCTTTCGAGTAAGGGAAAGTGCGACCTATTGGAATATATATTAGGGGCATCTGGAACCTTTAAATTTTCATTCAGTGCTGGGTTCAAGCTCATCAAAATGTGTTGAAGATTGATTTCACTAAAGATTTTTAAACAATTTTTTGCTTCTTTGGCTCATAAAATTTAACATAATATCTCTCAGGACATATTACAGATATACATATTGAGGAGTGTGATGGTCTTTAAGTCGAATGTTTTCACCGCCCGTCAGTCCAATCAAGTGCTTATACATTCAAGACTGCCATCGTTCATGAAGCGTTGTCTCGAAAGGGCATTCTTTCAGACGTTATATTTCTTATTTTTGAAGATGCGATGGTGGAGAAAGTATGCTCAAATGTTTGACTTGAAATTAATAAATAAAAAAAGGAAATTTCATTTTCATATATCTTTCCATATTAGAGCATTAAGAATAAAAAGTCAATTTTGTGGTTTTAAAAAAAGGCCAGAAAACATTTCAAGAACGTCAAGGCAAGGGTATATGCTCTTTTGTTTCTACTTTCGGAAACTAACATAATAACCATTTGAAAAAAAAAAAAAAAATCAAGACCAAGAAATGTACCTTTAAAAGGGAACAATGCCTTTCTTAAAAATGTACCTTTAAAGGGAACAATGCCTTTCTTTATAAGTTCATCAAAACGCAAAAATCCAATAAGACCAATAGCTGAGGCAGTCCAAAATTGAACTTCTGGAATGCCAAATTCTTGGGTAGCTTCAATTGCAAAGGTCATCAAGCCATCAGATATAATGCAACTAACTGGAGGTAATTCTGGCAATGAATTTAACTTTGCTATTAGCCCTTTAAATGGATTCAGACAATTCTTTTGAATCGAATCACTAAGGGCCCAAATATCTTGGGTTGCATCCCGGTCGGAAGGTGGCAACCCGTCGGGTATCGTTTCGAACCTAAAATCTAATAGGCTTTTAAAAAAGTCCGATTAAATTCAGTATTGACAAAAGTTATGTAAAAACCATTGGAATGCAAAAGCTTGGCCAGCTGCATTAGAGGATTGACATGGCCTTGTGCTGGATATGGAAGAAGAAGTACATGAGGTTTGATGTTAAGTGAACCCATTGCTAGAAAGGAGATATAGTGATGCTCAAATGGTTCTTTTTGGTCTTTTTATAGAAGGTGCTATGAGATACGAGATATATTTGCCGGCCATTTCATTTTACATGCACACACGTACACACATTACTGCTAATTTTACAAAATTTCAAATGATTTGAGTATCATTAACTCCAAATTTATTAAAATTATAATTAAACAATTTGATATATGATAGAATATTCTTTTGATTATACCTTTTTTTATGTTAAGTTATTTGTCTAATAATTGGATATTTGTATATGTTACTCCCTCCGGCCACAAATCTAAATCATTTTTCTTTTTTTGCATGGTGAAAATATTTAATTCTACTATATTATAACAAACAATTCATTATTTCAAAACGATTTACATTTATAGACAATATATTTTATAGACAATATATTATATATATATATATATATAGTATACCTATATTATATATATATATATCATATACTATAGTATTACTTTTTTAAATTACCTTAGATTCTTTTTTAAATAACGATTTAAGTCTATATATTTTTTAAATAACTTAGATTTTTTTTTAAATAACGATTTAAGTCTCTTCAAAATTTTATTGAATAAGTTAATGCTCAATTAATAACTTATGCAAACAGAACCTCTTTTTTTTCTTTTTCCAAAAATGTGTAGTTTTTTTAAGCATAAAAGATAATTGAAAATGGAAAAATTAAATTCGATCAAATAAAACTTGTGATTTAAAATATCAGTGGTTTCCTCTTTTCAACTGCTGGACAATGAAAGTGACCATTATTATTTTCATTTTTTAATTACTCTCTATGTTCCGTTTAATATGATATTTTTTTTTTAAAAAAAAATTTTAATTCAATTTTTCGAGTTGTTTGATAGTATTATTTCTTATGCTTTGTATGCAGATTTTTTTTTTAGAAAAAATCAAACTAGAATTTCATTAAGAGGAAACTGTATACAGATATGAGATATCTATGAATATGTTTATAAATTTTTGTATAATAAATCTAATAATGAATAATTTATACAAAGAATAAAAAAAATACAATCTTAATTTGAAATATCTGATCGAGTTGATATAACATAATATTTGTGTCATCGGAGACCGCTTGCTCCACTCGGTGGCTATTTATGGCCATTATTCAACTTCATGGTCTTTTTACAAGTCTGATCTTATTACCTTCAAATTTTTTCTTGAGAGGAGATCTCTTCTTTCTATACAACTATCCAAATAACGAAAGCTGCTAGACAAAATAATTATAATGGTAATAATAATAACTCAAAACTAGATCTGAGAACAAAATCTCAATATATGGACAATAAATATTTAGGCGACAAATAACTCAAATATATATATAGATCTGAGAATTTTTTCAAAAAAACAAATAAAAAAAGAAAAGGGGTGAGATCGGTGAGATCTCACCGGTGACCGCCAGTGGAAAAAAAAAAAAAAAACTGAAAATTTTTAGGTTTTAGATTATAAGAGAGGGACAGAATTGTATGCAAACATTCCATTTCAAAAAAAAGTATTGATATCTCCAGCAAATATTAATTATTTGAATAATTCATAAAAGAGTTATTTAATTAATTACCATTAATTTTTCTTAGATTTGAGGCGGTTGAATTATTTTCTAACTCTTATCCAAATTGAAAAAGTATCAAATTTAAAGTAATAGAATATATAAGTAGTATTAGATAACAACATTGCGAAACATATACACCAATTTTATAAATCATATTGCAAAATTTAAAATTGGCAAGATTTGAATTTCGTAAGGTTTGAAATTTAAACCGCGTGTGAAATATTCCATCGGAGAGATATTCTAACATGTTGCGAGTTCAAGAGTAGGATGGTTATGGATTGGTTCGAATCCGATTATACAAAAATTATGCAAAATTTATATCCGAGTCGCAAAGATTTTTATATGTTTATATTCATATCTGCTTCACTCGGAGTCAGACGGATACAATGTTAGATCGAATCAGATATTATCTATTTATTATTATTATATTTAAAAGAAAAAAACAGAACAATGATTTAATAAATATTTATATTATTTATTATGCTTTGAAAATACAAAAATCCTAACAATAATTGTAAATATTATGTACTAGGACAACTATAAGAGAATTTAATAATTGTTAAGCCCAAAAAATCATGGCTATAATGTTCAACTCATTCTTTTATTTGATGTAGAGGTTAAAAAAATATATATATATAGGAAAAAGGTGGAAGAATTGGAGATAATGATTTAAAATTTAAATGGAAAAAAAGAAAGCTTAATGACAAAAAAAAAAAAAAAAAATGAAAAAAAAGAAAGCTTAATGACAAAAAAAAAAAAAAAAAGCATGAACTGTTAAACCAAAAAAAAAAAAAAAAAGCATGAACTTTAACATTTTTATCAAATATGACCAGTTCTTTTAATTTTATTAATCAATACCGCGTACTTAATTTTTTATATCAATTCTAGCCTATGTTTGTCTTCCGTTGATTTCATACCAATAAGGCAATTATCTTGCAAAAGTGAGTCCTACAGCATCTAATATCAACACCAAGTCATATATTCACATATACTAAAAAAAAAAGCTTAAACTTTAACGATTTTATCAATTCTGACCAGT